AAACGTATGTCAAAGTGTAACCGACATGAAACTGTCCTGGGACAAACTTGTTGGAGTAAAGATGCAGCAGGAGAAATGTACCGGTGAGTTAACAGCATCACTGCATCACACACCAGGAAAGGCTGTGTGGTAAAGTCCTAAAAATGGAGCATGTAATGATCACCGTGACACAGACCGTACATTTGATCTGAGCTAAAGGTTTAAATCACCGTCAGTTTCAGTCTTTTATGTGGGAAATAGATTCAGAGTTTGCCCACATTCCTTCATGCAGAGCTCAGCTGGCTGAGTGGGGATAAAAGTTCTCAACAGAGTTTTTGAGCTCAGCGAGGAAACCTGTCAGTTCATGACATGTATGATGCGGTGAAGCTGTCACAAATGCACCAGTGCAGCCTGCCTCACTTTTCCTGTTGCAGTAATGTTGAACCAAGTCAGCGCACTTTGCTGAGCTGCACCTGTGCAGATTCAGATGCAGCTGCAGTGTAATGATGCACTCAGGGAAAGACACTGAATGGCCCGCACAGTTTATTAGCTCCACTCCTGCAGCCACGCCCAGCTCCGTCTACATGCGGCTCCAACCTTGTGTTTGCTTTCATTTACTTTTTCTGGGGTTTTGGCAGCATGTTCATATCTCTAACTTGCAGGATATATTTTTATGAAGAGCAAAATATTTAAAGTTAAAGTTTATTTTTTTAAGTTTATTTAATCTGGAATTATATTCCTGTCTGTTTTTATTCATATTTATGTTTAAAAAACAGTTTTAGTGTCTTCAATGAATGTTTATCTTGTTTGGCCCGCGACCTAAAGTGTGCCTTGAGTTTGACACCCCTGCTCTAAAGTACTCCTATTATTTTGGACTTCATGTCTTCATGTGATAAATGAGATCAATAACTCCAACAGGTGTTAGTTGTTGGAGTTATTGATCACATTTATCTCTAAATAACTCACCTGCTCTGAAGACCTGCTGTGTGTGTTTGTGTGTATTACACTGAGGATCTGTGTGTGTGTTTGTGTGTGTTACACTGAGGATCTGTGTGTGTTTGTGTGTATTACACTGAGGATCTGTGTGTGTGTTTGTGTGTATTACACTGAGTATCTGTGTGTGTGTTTGTGTGTATTACACTGAGTATCTGTGTGTGTGTTTGTGTGTATTACACTGAGGATCTGTGTGTGTTTGTGTGCATTACACTGAGGATCTGTGTGTGTTTGTGTGCATTACACTGAGGATCTGTGTGTGTTTGTGTGTATTACACTGAGGATCTGTGTGTGTGTTTGTGTGTGTTACACTGAGGATCTGTGTGTGTTTGTGTGTATTACACTGAGTATCTGTGTGTGTTTGTGTGTATTACACTGAGGATCTGTGTGTGTGTTTGTGTGTATTACACTGAGTATCTGTGTGTGTGTTTGTGTGTGTTACACTGAGGATCTGTGTGTGTTTGTGTGTATTACACTGAGGATCTGTGTGTGTGTGTGTGTGTTACACTGAGGATCTGTGTGTGTTTGTGTGCATTACACTGAGGATCTGTGTGTGTTTGTGTGCATTACACTGAGGATCTGTGGTGTGTTTGTGTGTGTTACACTGAGGATCTGTGTGTGTGTTTGTGTGCATTACACTGAGGATCTGTGTGTGTTTGTGTGTATTACACTGAGGATCTGGTCTCCCTTGCGGAGCTCCCCGCTCAGGTCTGCTGGGCCTCCTGCGAGGATGAAGGAGATGAAGATGCCCTCTCCGTCCTCTCCGCCCACGATGTTGAAGCCCAGGCCGGTGGAGCCGCGCTGCACGCAAACCCTGCGAGGCTCCCTCGAGTACTCGTCCTCTCCCATCATGCCGCGGGGGATCGGGGAGTATCGCCGCGGTGACGGAGGAGGGAGGGCTTGTGGGTAATCGCACATATAGTCCGGCTCCATGTAGGCTGCAGCGAGGACAGAAGGTTCAGCAGCTGATCTCTGACATCTGGATCAGGGACAGGTCTAACATCTGGATCAGGGACACGGGTCTAACATCTGGATCAGGGTCACGGGTCTAACATCTGGATCAGGGTCACGGGTCTAACATCTGGATCAGGGACAGGTCTAAAATCTAGATAAGGGACAGGTCTAACATCTGGATCAGGGTCACAGGTCTAACATCTGGATCAGGGACAGGTCTAACATCTGGATCAGGGTCACAGGTCTAACATCTAGAAAAGGGACAGGTCTAACATCTGGATCAGGGACACGGGTCTAACATCTGGATAAGTGACAGGTCTAACATCTGGATCAGGGTCACAGGTCTAACATCTGGATCAGGGACAGGTCTGACATCTGGATCAGGGTCACGGGTGTACACATCTGGATCAGGGACACGGGTGTAACATCTGGATCAGGGACACGGGTGTAACATCTGGATCAGGGACAGGTCTAACATCTGGATCAGGGACACGGGTGTAACATCTGGATCAGGGACACGGGTGTAACATCTGGATCAGGGTCAGGTCTAACATCTGGATCAGGGACACGGGTGTAACATCTGGATCAGGGACACGGGTGTAACATCTGGATCAGGGACAGGTCTTACATCTGGATCAGGGTCACGGGTCTAACATTTGAATAAGGGACAGGTCTAACATCTGGATCAGGGTCACAGGTCTAACATCTGGATAAGGGACAGGTCTAACATCTGGATCAGGGACACGGGTCTAACATTTGAATCATGGAAAGGTCTAACATCTGGATCAGGGTCACAGGTGTAACATCTGGATCAGAGACACGGGTCTAACATCTGGATCAGGGTCACGGGTCTAACATCTGGATCAGGGACACGGGTCTAACATCTGGATCAGGGACACAGGTGTAACATCTGGATCAGGGACAGGTCTTACATCTGGATCAGGGACAGGTGTAACATCTGGATCAGGGACAGGTCTTACATCTGGATCAGGGACAGGTCTAACATCTGGATCAGGGTCACGGGTGTAACATCTGGATCAGGGACAGGTCTAACATCTGGATCAGGGACAGGTCTAACATCTGGATCACAGGTTTAACTGGTTGCTGACTGTGTGTTTGACACAGTATTCTGGATTAATCTGTTATGAATGATAATCTTATCCATAGTAAAGCAAACATCCTGGACCTTCCTCTGAGTCTGAGTCTTGAGTTCACCTGCATCAGGATCAAAGCCTGATAGGATCAAACATTCCTGGAGCTTCTTGAAGGAAAACCTCATTAAACTCATTTTAAAGCCTGACTGTGTCCTGGTTTCATCTTCTGAGGAGTTTAGAATTAGTCTGAGCTGAAAGTGCACATCTGTCCTCTAGGTGGCGCTGCAGGGAAACTAAAGTCATCATTCAGAGCGAACTCACATCTGTACAGATGACTGATATGCAGTATTATTTACAATATTACTGTAGTATTATCACTGTAATCAACCTGTGAGCAGGTCTAATCAGTGTGATGCTGTACAGGTGTACTTACAGCTGGTCAGGTCGGGGGGGCTGTATCGATCAATTGGGTGGATGTACTGCGAGGTGGGCGTGGCCACCTTCAGGTAGACCACCTCTCCTGTATTCTTCAGGGCTGACACGGCGTCTTCGTGCAGGACGTCCTCCAGAGACATGTGGTTGACCTGCCGGGGGGCGGAGCCTGACGTTAGACCACAGTCACATCAGTTTAGCGTGTCAGAGAGAACACGTGTGATGTCACGTACCGCCAGGATTTTGTCTCCGATCTGCAGCCGCCCGTCACGGTGTGCCGCCCCGCCCTCGATGATCTTGGTGACGTAGATGCTGTTGTCTCCAGGGACGTGCTGGTTCCCCACGCCGCCCGCTATACTGAAGCCCAGACCTGCACCGGGGGGCGGGGTTAGATTAACAAAACCCAGAACACAGCGAGTGATGAAGATCAAACTGACTCATGGCAAACAACGTTTACAGATTAAAAAGGTGATGAACTAAAATATGTTACTGACGTAATCAGTGCGTCACAAAATGTTAAAAATATATAAAGTAATAAATCTCCAGGTGTGACTGGCTCCAGGTGAGGTGACACGTTCAGGTGTGTTTCTGCTTCCTGTTTGACCAAACTGTATTTATAACAGGTTTATTAAACATTACTACAGTGTCCTGCTGAGGAATCAGAGTATAAAGGGTTATAAAGGTGAATCTCGTGTATGAAGCCTCTGTCATGTCTCTAATTCTTCTTTTGCTGACATAAAACATAAAGTATTTAAGAACTGTAATGACTCTAACAGTCCAGCAGAGGGCAGCAGAGCAGCTGGAATCACAGTTACATAAGAGCTGCTCTCCTGTCTCACCTTTGGGTCCTTTCATCAGTTTGATCTGTGTGATGCGTTCGCTCGGTGGGCGTCTCCGCAGCACGTACAGCCTGACAACAGGCCCCGCCTCCTTCAGCGCCTCCACAGCGATGGAGTGAGTGACCTCCCGGACGTCCACATCGTTGACGAATACGATGCTGTCGTTCACCCTGGAGATGAAGAGAGAGGGAGAGTCATTGTCACCTCCTCAAACAGCTGTTTGAAGGCTCAGGGGTGATCAGGTTTAGGTCCTTTAAAGGTGAGAGGCTCAGCTTCATGTCCTCAGAGAACACAAGCACAAGCAGTCTGTGTGTGTTTCTGTGTGTGTCTGTTTGTGTGTGTGTTTGTGTTTCTGTGTGTGTGCACCTGAGGCGTCCGTCCTGGGCAGCGGCTCCTCCGGGGATGATCTTGGTGATGAAGATGGAGGGGTCGTCTCCGATGTGAGGATTGTCGGTTCCTCCCGCGATGCTGAAGCCCAGACCAGAGTTACCCTGAACACACACACGTGAACACACACATGAACACACTGTACCTGATGCAGACCTGGGTCTCCCTGTATGTGGATCCCGGATGAGCCCCCACTTACACCAGCACCTGGCCCATGAGCTCAGTGAGCTCATAAATCAAATCTGGGAGTGAATCTAAGACAAACAGCCAGCCCAGGCCCAGGAGAGTTATGCAGCTGTCAGGTTAGCTTCCTGCACAGCTGGATAACCTGGAGCTCTGCAGATGTTGACGTTTTTAATCAGACTCAGACTGATGTCCAAACCAGCTGACTTTTGGATCTTCAGCTCTCAGAGGGGAGAAAGAGGAGAGAGGCTGAAGAGACATTTGGTGTTTTCTGGTTTTGTATTTTTGATAATCTTGAATTTTGGTTTATATGTTCTGTGTTATTTATTCTTCTGGTCATAATGTTATATTCTGTTTTCTATAGATCCTGCTTTCTGTGCTGTTAGTTCCCTTCATGATGGAGCAACGAGGTGAAGAAAGACAAGCTGAAGGTTCATTGGTCCAGCAGACCCAGTGTTCCTCTGCTCATGGTCTCTGTTAGAGACAGGGGGAGTAAGTCGGACATTGAGTAGGTGGAGCTGCTGCTCCTTCACTTTGAAAGGACCCCGATGAGGACGTCCTGAGGAGCTGACACCTGTCACTGGGCTGAGAGGCCTCATGGTGTGAACTAGGACTGGGCGATATATCGAGTTTTTTAAAAATATCGATATATTTTCATACGAGATATAAGATGTGACAATATCCTTTATATCGATATAGTCTATGTTACTTTATAATTATAGTTGTGGAGCCATAAGTTTGCCTGTCTTTCGTCCACTTTTGTCTTTACGCAACGTTACTCGGCCTCGCCTCTCCTTCACTGAACACAACTCCCCCTCCTCTCCCATAGCTTCACCTGCAGGCAGTGACAAGATGGACACGGCAAATCTCTGTTAACAAGTTTCCGCGCATTGCCCCGTGCGTGTGGCTGGACGGCGTCAACGTGTTAGCGAGCTAACCACGCTAACGAGCTAACCACGCTAACGCCATGCAGCCCAGAGGGGCTGCACAGCCTAGAATCCGTTCATTTTCTCAAAAGTTGACAGCTCGCCTTATGTATGAATCCTGGTTGTGCTTGATGACCACGAACCAATTTTCTGTGGAACACAGCGCTCAGCAATCTGTCAATAAATCTTTTAGTACGACTTTGGTAAGCTACGAAGCTGCAGCGCTTGATGAATTGCCAGAGCATTATGGTTACCGAGAAGCCTCGCGGAGTGATACGCACTGTGCTTCAACGTAATATTACTGTACTGTGTATAAGGACCATAAATGGCACCTGTAAGAGACACGGTTACAAAGAGGATTTCAAACTCCAGGCTGTCAGTCACGCAGTAGAAGTTGGGAACAGAGCAGCTGCTTGTTATTATGCTCAGCGTCTGTTAGCTTACATTTTGACTGCACAATTGTGAGCTTTTTGTTATGCACAAAAACAACAGTTTTCTTTTATTTATAGAGCATTATTATTTAATAGATGCTGATCATTTATTTTTGAGTAATTTCTTCATCTATGCTGTATGTTAATAAAAGTGCCCGTGTGACATCTGGGACACAGCTTTGACTAAGAACTCTCTGTTCGTTCTTACTTTATGGCTTTAAAAAATATCGAGATATATATCGTATATCGCCATCCAGCTAAAACGTATCGAGATATGAATTTTGGGTCTTATCGCCCAGCCCTAGTGTGAACTGAGTTCAGCCTCAGCAGCAGGTTACCATGACAGCAGTTAGTCAGCTGTTTCAGTCAGAGCTTCACTGACGGAGCAGAGGAGATGTTTCTGCTCCACTTCCTGTGATGGTGTCACCATGATAGCTGCTGTCCACATGACCGCAGGAAGCTGCGAGCTGTTGGCTGAAGACGTCCACAGAGACGAGCTTCACCTTCCTGTCCTCTAACAAGGCTGAATCTAATCCTCCTCCTGCTCCTGCAGCTCTCTGGACCATCTGCTTGATGGAGGTCAGTCCTGCCTGATATTACCCAGCAGCCCTTTCACTAATGTGTCTTCACAGCAGAGCTAAACCTTCATCATCATCATCATAAGCCCTGACAGGAACATCTAATTTACTTCCTGTTTTCTTCTTCTGTGGTGTTTCTGCCTGCAGCTCGTATTCAATGATCAGCTGTGCATGAATTATGCAGATGTGTCTGCAGACTTCTCACTCACTGAGGACAGATGTTAGTGTCTCTGTCCACCCGCTGTCTCTGACACACCTCCACACTAATCCTCAACATCCTCCTCCTCCTCATCATCATCTTCACAGAGTGCATGAAGGGCTGATGGGAGGTGACTCATTAAATCACTCCTGTGTGTGCTGACAGCTGTGCCTCTGTGAGCAGATCTGAGACCAGCTGATTAAACGTCAGGTTCACTGGTTTGATTTGTAAAAGGAGCTAAAAATAACCCGCTGATGTCAGGGGGGCGTGGCTTACATTCAGAGGGTGACGGCGGCTTTTAAATCAGAGTGATGCGTCTAAAAACAGAGCGGAGACGAGCTGGAAGGAGCGCGACGACGGAGTGTTTCTCACCACTACACGTGTGTGTGTGTGTGTGTCTGTGTGTGTCTGTGTGTGTGTGTGTGTGTGTGTGTGTCTGTGTGTGTGCGCTCACCCTCTCCAGTGTGATCTCCTCGTACTCCAGCTCTCCCTCTGACCCGTTCATCTGTAAAAAAAATAAACACATGCAGAGTTAAATCACATCCCAGAATATCTCTGCTCATCGCCACGGCAACTCCATGGTAACAGCTGTTGAGCCCTCAAGGGGCCCGGTTACCTGGGCAACTGTAGCCGTAGCTATAGCAACCAACTCTCATATCATCTGCTCCAAGCACTCATGAGAGCTTGGAGACACGGTTATTACATCACTTCCTGCTGTGGCGCTCTCTCCACTCATTAACCACACACCTCACTGAGTCATGTGACCAAACCCTTCACAGCTCATCCATCATCATCCACCCGCCTTCTTCGTTTGTCCAGGTGAGGGTAGCTGGGGGCGGAGCCTATCAGTCCATGCCAGCTGTTCACGCTGTACACACACTCTACCTCACCCTTACACAGGTTATCACAGGAGGACACACACACCGCCCAGCATGTCCTCTGTCCTTCATGTCCTGAAGCACACCTGACATCATGATTCTCATGACATCATCATGACATCACTGACAGCCATAGATGTGCAGCTCCATCAGTGCCATTTAAAGCTGTCAGCAGGCGCTGTGCTAGCTACACCTGATGTATTCAAAGCCTCCATCAGGCTGCTCTACACCCAGCCAAACACCTCCAGAAGGGCCAGGCTCAGTGAGGGGGGGACATGTGCTGCAGATATGAGGGAGGGTTCAGGGTCACCTGATCCTAGACCCGCCCACACACAGCTCTGACCATCAACACACACACAGAGCTGTAAACAGGGGTCAGAGCTCCTGCAGGTGTGTGTACAGGTGAGCTGTTAGTTTTCAGTCATTCTTCATGAAATGCAAAGCGGTTACTGAAACAGCTGCTAACAGCTGGAGCAGAGACAGATACACTGTAACAGCGTCTCTGTTTGTGACACGTTCAGATGATCCAAACAGGAAACAGCTGGAGCAGCTTCTCTGACAGTAAACTGTGTGTTAGAAAACGTGTCTGAGGGTTGGACGTCCTTTAATCCGCACACTGTAATAAAAATAGGAGCTAATAAAAGCTTTAAAGCAGATAGAAATAACTGCAGGATGTTTGATGCTTGATCAAAGCTCCACAGGCAGCAGCTGGTAAATTTATCAGCTGTACTGTATTTGGAGCTCATCACACCATCACTGAGCCAACATGGCCTCCCTGTCAGGGGGCGGGGTTTGTGATTTCTTGGAAATATGTTCTTGTGTTGTTATTATTAGTTAGGACTTAGTTGAGTTTTAGTCCAGTTTGTGTTATCACCCGTGTCCCCTTGTGTCTCTCCTCTGTGTCCCTCTCTCGCTCCCTCTCTCTTGTGTCAAGCTTTCGTGTCCGAGTTCATGTCTCTCCATGCTTCCTGTTTTATTTTGAAAGTCCGTTGGCGTGGTGTTGTTGCAGACCTCTGCTCCACCAGGAGTCTACAGGAAAACTGATGTTCCATGTTCAGTGTGTTTAGCTTTGCTTCCCATGTGGCGTGATGTTCATTTGTGTCAGCTGTTTCCACTTCCCTCATTACCCTGCTGTATATTTAAGTCGTTCAGTGTCGGGTCATCTGTTTGTGTTGCTTCAGGTCACTCAGGTCTTGGGTTTTTTTGTGCTCCTGCTCAGATTCATGCTCATGTTCTTGTGTCATAGTTTTCATGGTTAGTCTTAGCTGCTCCCAGTTTAGTTTTGTCCCAGTTTGCTTTGTCTTGTTTTGTCTTTTTTTCCCATCAGCCAAATAAACGGCCCACATTTTGTTAAACCTTCATATAACACTCGCTGTTTCCTGCTGACACACCTGGATACAGGAGCACAACATCTGTATCCTGACAGCTCAGAGAGCTGAAGCATCTTCACCCACTGATCTGCAACTTCCACCTAACCTCCACCCATGTCACACTGATGGAGGTCTTTAACACAGCTGGAGCCTGAGAAGGACCAGAGTGAAGGGATCAGGACCTCCATGAACCCACCACCTAAGCTAGCTAGCTAACTAGCACCTGCTCTACTGTACTCTACTCGGTTCTACTTGACTTTACTTGGTTACGGTTGGTTTTTGTTACAGTTGAGTCCCACCTCAGTCACTTCTTTGAAAGTCTGTTTATGTCACTATTTAAAATGTTTGTCATACAACAAACAAACCCAACGTCGGGGTCGCTATAGCAACACGGCACGAGTCCTGTGATGTCATGTGTGTGACACAAACACAACAATGGAGAACTTGATGTGTTAAACAGTGGTAGACGTGTGCACGCTGTCCAGTAGATCCCAGTGGAACTGAGGCTCTAATGTAGGTGGGTGCTTCAGGGCCTCGGCTGCAGTCTGTTTTCAGGGGGCCCCAGGCCCCTGTTTTCCTTACATTACATTAAACCAACATGACGGAACCACCAGTCCCAGCCTGCAGACGGTTTTCATCGTGCTGTTGTTCACAGACAAAGACCCTATCAGGTGTCTGAACTATGCACGTTTAAATTCATGTAGTCAGAGTCACTAGAGGTGTCCAAATTCATGTGCTGCATCCTCCTGAGGACCCGGCCTTCGAAGTCTACGTGGGACAAAATATAACAGGACACTGGCGTAAACTCTCGACCGTCTCATACTTCTGTTTAATCAGTTTTCTGTTTGACGTTTATTCAGCTGTGTGAAAACCAAGGAGGAAAACACCCGGGGGATTAATAAAGTTTTATTTAATCTAATCTAATAACTTTGATCTCAGCCAAACCGATTTACTCACGAACAAACAAAACACTGAAAAAAGTCCAACAATAACATTTTTAGGTTGTCTAAGTGACTTATATTTCACGTTTAACCTGAGTAGCAAAAGTCCGCGGGGATCTGAAAATGATGTGTCGGGAGTTGTGCCGTTCTCGGCAGCTCTAGTGACCCTCGAGCTCCCGGCTTCCTTTCGAGCTGGTGGGTAACAGACGTCTCTGAAAACATCGAAGCACTTTTACAAATATGCGATATCTTGATAAACCGAGCAGATATTTTATGTTTACACAGCTACTTTCTCGCCTGAAAATATGTTAAAAGTTTATTTTGTGACCCAGAAAGATTAACAAGAGTAATATTAAAACTTAGCAGCGGCCGCCATTGTTGGAAACTGGAGTTTGGCTGGGCCGAGCTATGAATTCTGGGATATGGTGGGCCATGAAGGACACACCCGACCCATCCTTCAAATTCGGGGAAAGGGAGGACGTATTTGTCGGCTGCATTCGGAGAAGTCTACGAATTTGGAGAGCCTTCGGCGCGTCGCTGTGACGTAATCGCTCTATAAACACGTCCTCAGGAGGATGCAGTCCATGAATTTGGACACCCCCACTATGTACAAACACACACCTGTAACCTCCACAGTCACCATGGTAACATGTGACATCACGGGCCTGGCACAGGTGAGCGTTTCAGCAGCTTACAGGTGTGAGTTCACACATTCATGACTGCAGTTTATATGATTAATAAAGAATATTGTGTTCTTATCACAGCTCAGTGTGGAAATCACATTATCCTGAGCTGTGGGTCGTTTCCGTGGAAACACAGTGATGTAATTTAGTTAGCAGGCTCTGTTAAAGAGTGCCTCTGTCTGTTGTTTTAGAGGCGCTCGCTGTGCGATATGAATCTGTTAATAGTTCATGAATTCATCAGCCGTGTCTGTGTGACGCTCACATGAGAAGTTATCAAGCATCAAAGATTTAAAATCAGGCAGAAACAGGCGACGACCAACGGGCCAGATACAGCAGGATGCCCACGATGAGGGTAAACCTGTGTGTGTGTGTGTGTGAGAGTGTGTGTGTGTGTCAGTGTGTGTGTGTCAGTAACACAGTGAACTCTGCTTCAGTCCCTGAAGGCTCAAGCATCAACACTAAAACACACAGTTCACTTCATTCAGCTCAGCTCTGGAGACGCTGCAGCTCCAATACACTTATATAACAGAGAGAGAGGGCGAGAGAGGCAGGCTGACAGCAGGAGAGAGAGAGAGGGCGAGAGAGGCAGGCTGACAGCAGGAGAGAGAGAGAGGGCGAGAGAGGCAGGCTGACAGCAGGAGAGAGAGAGAGAGAGGGCGAGATAGGCAGGCTGACAGCAGGAGAGAGAGAGAGGGAGAGGGCGAGAGAGGATGAGAGAGAGAGAGAGGGCGAGAGAGGCAGGCTGACAGCAGGAGAGAGAGAGAGGGCGAGAGAGGCAGGCTGACAGCAGGAGAGAGAGAGAGAGAGAGGGCGAGAGAGGCAGGCTGACAGCAGGAGAGAGAGAGAGGGAGAGGGCGAGAGAGAGAGAGAGAGAGAGAGGGCGAGATAGGCAGGCTGACAGCAGGAGAGAGAGAGAGGGCGAGATAGGCAGGCTGACAGCAGGAGAGAGAGAGAGGGAGAGGGCGAGAGAGGCAGGCTGACAGCAGGAGAGAGAGAGAGGGCGAGAGAGGCAGGCTGACAGCAGGAGAGAGAGAGAGGGCGAGAGAGGCAGGCTGACAGCAGGAGAGAGAGAGAGGGCGAGAGAGGCAGGCTGACAGCAGGAGAGAGAGAGAGAGAGAGGGCGAGAGAGGCAGGCTGACAGCAGGAGAGAGAGAGAGGGAGAGGGCGAGAGAGAGAGAGAGAGAGAGGGCGAGAGAGGCAGGCTGACAGCAGGAGAGAGAGAGAGGGCGAGAGAGGCAGGCTGACAGCAGGAGAGAGAGAGAGAGAGAGGGCGAGAGAGGCAGGCTGACAGCAGGAGAGAGAGAGAGGGAGAGGGCGAGAGAGAGAGAGAGAGAGAGAGGGCGAGATAGGCAGGCTGACAGCAGGAGAGAGAGAGAGGGCGAGAGAGGCAGGCTGACAGCAGGAGAGAGAGAGAGAGAGAGGGCGAGAGAGGCAGGCTGACAGCAGGAGAGAGAGAGAGGGCGAGAGAGGCAGGCTGACAGCAGGAGAGAGAGAGGGCGAGAGAGGCAGGCTGACAGCAGGAGAGAGGGAGAGGGCGAGATAGGTAGGCTGACAGCAGGAGAGAGAGAGAGGGAGAGGGCGAGATAGGCAGGCTGACAGCAGGAGAGAGAGAGAGGGAGAGGGCGAGATAGGC